CCAATCAATCACTTGCAGACTGTAAACGAGGTTTGCACCGGAAAACACACCCATCATTTTCGAGACCGCTCTGCTAACACGCTATACCGGCCCGCAGACCGAACAGTTCTCGAACTGGATGGAAATAAATATATCCAACGCACTCTATGTCTAGATGACAGGCATCGGCACCTCCTGTCGGAATTAATCTTCCAGTGATGGCTAATAACACTCCTCAGGGGGCTCTCTGTCCAAGAGACCCCGCCACCTGAGGGCTTGAGGTAGTGGCACTAACCTGGTGAATAGATTCAGAACATCGTCTGATAACTTATCACCCCGGAAAGTATCCCCTGCACCTCCTCTCACCACCTCGCACTGGCCAACACACGGTTACCATAGCACATCAGTAGTAGAATCTGAATACTTGTCTCCGTCAACCAGCGTGACACACAGATGCACCAGTGTTGACTGTCAACCAGCGTGATACACAGATGCACCAGTATTGACCGTCAACCAGCGTGACGCACAGATGCACTAGTGTTGACCGTCAACCAGAGTGATACACAGATGCACCAGTATTGACCGTCAACCAGCATGCATGACGCACAGATGCACCAGTGTTGACCGTCAACCAGCGTGACACACAGATGCACCAGTGTTGACCGTCAACCAGCGTGACACACAGATGCACCAGTTATGACCGTCAACCAGCGTGACACACAGATGCACCAGTTATGACCGTCAACCAGCGTGACACACAGATGCACCAGTATTGACCACCCTCCCCCAACCCAACCCCTGCCTATCTTTTTAGACATGGATCAACACTTCCGCCGTCCTCTGAATAATGTCTACGTTGACAGTATTCCAATACTATATAATACATTTGACGCATTTAGACACTTCAGGTGCTGCAGAAGAATGAAAAATCATGACTAAAAACTGTCACACAATAGAAACAAGCTTACGAAATCGTTCACTGAAATGAGGATACTATATCAGACTGCTACAAGATTCCCCTACCAGCGATGACTTGTTGAGGTTCTATCCAAATCTTTGGGACACCTTGAATGTCAAACAACACAGGCGCTCAAGTATTTACACTCACTTCGGTCACTCATATTACGAGGGGAAGTCAATAAGTAAGTCAAAATGGTTAAAAAAAAAAAAAATAGACCTGAAGAGGCTAAAAACTTAAGACTAGTTTTAGTTTTTTTTTACACATGCACTGCCCCTTTATTTTTCAGCGTAATTTCCACCACAACTGATGTACTTGTCCAATTGTTGTATCAATCGTCCCAGACCTGCTGCATAAACTACGTTCTCTGACGTCACATTCCGTAAGTACAGTGGCCATTTTGTTTATGTGTTGCGAATGCATATGCATCGCGTAGCGCCACTTAACGAACAGAGACAAAAAGTTCCGTGTTTCTGTCACCTAATGACAACTTTAGGAACCACAAACTAGATTTTCCTAACATCCCATAACCATGTATGGCTTACTTATTGACTTCCCCTCCTATGAATGGTAATAATGTACACTTTAACGCCCATCTGACTTCGGGTATCACTGCGTGGTAACTGCTCAGACAGCATACAACAAGCTCGGGTAAGGGGTATACCCAGTCTACAATGGGTACCAGCAGTCTCATGGGAAGTCAATATGACGGCCAGAATGTCGACCAAAACATCCACTGGGATGCATGCAGATCCTCAGGTCTTGGGTTCGGGTCCCGCCAGAACCGGAATGACCTTGGATCCCAGGTTGATCCAGCTTCAAAGATGTATAAGGAAATTTTCAGGAAAGCAAAGGCGACCAGCGTGATGTTCATCTGAGTACCGACTGGTCTGTAAAATATAGTCCTAACCCTGTATGCTAAGTAAGCCTGAAAGTGTGTTTGTGTGTTTGTGTGTGTGCATGTATGCCTGAGTTCATATATATGTTGATGCACGCATCAAAATTGCAGCTGTTTTATCATTCTTTCAGACAGTACCCTGTCGAATAAAAGATAACAATGCCTAAATTTGATCCCACGACAAAGAAAGGCTTGGTGCGTGTTCTACCCGCTCAAATCGATCCACTTGCAGGGTTAGCGCTTAGAGAAACTAACCCCGAACCCACTGAAAAAAGAGCTCGCCATCCTCCTATTTTGAAATCTAAAAATCCGGTTCCGACACCTGAATATGAAATTCCGGAACCTGAATATGACGACGAAGAGATTGATCCTTTTGCGAAAGCCCGCTCGTCCATGCAGAGGGAGGGCGCAATCGGTGATGCTGATTACGGTCGGAGGGTGGCTGGGCAGCGGGACCCCTGGCTCTTTTCTGGGGGCAGCAATGTGCGCCTACTGAATTCAAGCAATTTTTACGATTCTGTTGTTCGTATGGAGAAAGCTTTGGTCATGTTCTACAACCCATCCAGTCCGGAGGACAGCATTTGGGCTAGAAGAGAATTCTCTGAGGTATTATCTCAGCCTATTCATTCATGCATGAATTCATTCATTCGTCCATTCATTCATTCATTCGCCACCACTATCATCATCGTCATGGTCGTCATCTTTGTCGTAGTTACTGATGTCATTGATTTACTAATCTTCACCACCACCACCACCACCACATTACCACAACAACAACAACCACAACGATCATCACTACAACAATCGATACTGTATTATGTGCAGCTAGAAATTATGTATGTATATAAAATGTCTAGCTGCACATAATACAGTCACAGACCAGTAACATCTGACACACAGATTAGACTCATGGTGTCCTAAAAGGTGACCAACAGATAAGAGTCCCTGATTCATAACAGGGAATACACAGATTAGAGTCATAGATTCCCAACAGGGAACACACAGATTAGAGTCATAGATTCCTAACAGGGGACCAACAGATAAGAGTCACTGATTCATAACAGGGAATACACAGATTAGAGTCATAGATTCCTAACAGGGAACACACAGATTAGAGTCATAGATTCCTAACAGGGAACACACAGATTAGAGTCATAGATTCCTAACAGGGAACACACAGATTAGAGTCATAGATTCCTAACAGGGGACACACAGATTAGAGTCACGGATCCCTAACAGGGGACATACAGACTAGAGTCATAGATTCCTAACAGGGAACACAGATTAGAGTCATAGATTCCTAACAGGGAAAACACAGATTAGAGTCATAGATTCCTAACAGGGGACACACAGATTAGATAAACGGATATATATATGTAATATAAAAGTCATGCTCATGTTATGTCTTTCTGTCAGAGAGACCGTGACGAGAGCGACGTTCTGCAAAGGACCTGCTACATGATGATGAAGATGCTATGTCAATATTCAATATATGCCACATAATACATGCAGCCGGTTTCTCCGTTTTTTTTTTTTTGGGGGGGGGGGGGGGGGTGGCATCTGCTCTTATGTTGTATGTGTTGTTTGGACACCAACATGATTTTTTTAATGTAGCAGGTCCTGTGCAGAACGTTGCTCTCACAACGTTGGACATGAGAGAAACTCAGTCACTCGCCAGCCTTTCAACCTCATGTACTTGCATACTCAAGGAGTCATTTATATCATGTGCCCATCTTCGTGTTGGTTGGCCCCTGCCCCTCCTTCCTGGTACCATGACTTCTGCTATTATCTTTTTTTCCAATCTGTCGTGGCGCTTAATATGATAAAAAAAAAAATATTTTAGCTTCGGAGATAGAATGCTGTTTATATGACAATGTGCCTTGATGTTCAGATCTTTCAAGACGTCAGTATTTCTCCTCTTCTTTGACCAAGAGATTCCGAGAATCTTTCTATAACATTTCAGCTCAAAAGCCCCTTTTCTCTTTGTTACAGACTGGGAGATAGTTCACCACTCACATCCGTATCTTGCTACAGGCAAGATGCATGCTCTCAAAATTATAACTTTGATCTCCTTGCTTCACCAAAGTCTTTTAAGGCTGTTTGATCTTTGCATTGTTACGCCATCCTCCTTGTAACTTCAGTCAAAAAGTCTCCATTGCTATTTATTATAGAGCCTAGATATTCAAAGTTTTTGACATTTTCACTTTCTTCATCATTTGTTGATATTTTTTGGTGGCAGCCTGTTTTTACCAATCTGTAGCCTCTATAATGATAGAGAGGCCTATTGGTCATATACTGGATGTTTGTACATCTGTCTGCACTTTTGTATTTCCTGAATGGTAACTGCGGTTGATTCCTTCAGGTCATGAGTTGTGTGTACGTTTTTTTTTTTTGTAATTATTTCTTTGGTAAGAAACTTATCCTCAGATGATTAGGATTAACTCTTTTCAGGGACTTTTTCTGGTCGTTGTTGGGGAGTGGAAGGGGGCTTCTGTCGAAGTCGAAGTGCACCTGTCTGAGAGGCAAGGAACCAGCAGTCTGTACACAAATAAGCAAGATCTGTAAACCAGATGCACACGCAAAACTCAGGTCATGGAAAAAAAAGCCTAAATCCGAAAAAAGACGAACGACTAGGCCTTTGCGCCAGAGTTTACAAAAGGTGAACGCAAACAACAACAGCAACAACAGTATTGTTGTGTGCCGGTGCGGATAATCTTTTTACTCTAACGTAAGAGAGTACACACGTGTACACAGTACAGGTACATTTACACACCAGGCATGTGCGAACTAAATTTGCAACGTTTGGTTTTATTAAACTGTTGTGTATTGTTTTGACAGGCTGCAAACAAACCAGGGCCCCCAAACCAAGTCTTCGCTAGCGTCGACTGCTCCACCAACAGAGACCTCTGCTGCCGGGAACAAGCCACCAGGAATCTCCCCATCTTCAGACTCTACTCCAACGGCTACCAAGTGAGCACTAGCCAGCACTCCTATGACCTTACCGCTAACCAGATGGTCACACTAGTCCGGATGGCGCCTGTACTCAACCAGCCACGGTCAAAAGTCTGACGTGTACAAGCAGACACGATGATTCATAGTGCCACGACTGTAATTTGACAATGGCATCTGAATATAAAAACCACAAATGACATCAATTCAGGATCAAGTTCAGAATAAAAGAAAACAACTAGATAATCACTCTAGAATATCAATGAGTTGTCTAGTGCTAACAGAAACGAATGGCACTCTAGTTCCTGAAGGCAAGATAGAATACGCAAACAAGAAGACAACAAACATATCTATAAAACAAGATCCTAGAATGGTATTCAAAATATAGGGTGATATAGTCATTATGAATTACTTTGTTTATGTTTAAAAAGTAAAAGCCTCAGACACATACAGATGGTTTCTGGTAGCGTTGACCTCAAAAGAAGTCTTGTGACTTATCTGAAGTGGTTCCAAGGAAGACTTGAGACCCTAATCTTCAGAGTCACTTGGTAGACTTTCAACTACAGCTTTATCTTGTAAAAAGACTGAACAGCTTACACAGTAGCCCAGAAGAAAATCGTCATCCCCAGGACAAGAAGTTATCAGTTCAGCAATCAGCATGCATCAAAGTTGTCTGCCGTGAACATCCACAGCACTGACCTTCTACTTGTAGCGCAGGCAAACCTGCCCCCCAGTGAACTTCGTCCTGTTTGCTAACACCATACCATGCTGATGTTCCAAGCCCAGCTTCTGCTGACACCACTGTTGGGACGAACTCTAAAAGTAATCTGTTAAATTCCTTCTCCACGAAATATTATATTAAATACCCAGTATTCTTAATCCTCCAGCTGATTCTTTGTTGTTTGTGATATTGCAAACAAAGATATGTTCTTGTGTGAAATTTCTGAAAGAACCTACACAGTATACCAATTAGGAATTGTTCACAAATTGTTAAATATTGAATTGGGAATCGACATCACAGTTTTCAGGATACCCCATAAGCGCCCCGTCTCCATTTTCAGCAGTAAACGAAGAGCTGCTCTATCACAAAATGCAATGTCCTAGCTAACACCTGAACTCACAACAGATCCTAAAGTATCAATGTCAATGTCCTTAGAGACTGCCCCGTAGTGGTCAGCTCAGGTAAGGGTTCATTACATTGCAGCAGACAGATAAAGGCAACTTTCTCAATGGACGTCCCCCCCTCCCCAATAAATGAAGACATAAAGAGTAGTATTGATTACTTTAACTGTTGTTGTATAGGGAGCGTTGCCGCTTATGGGAAATGTAGCGCTAAATGATGATAATGAATAATCTAAATAGACATTGCCACCAAGTGCCTCACAAGAGTCCACTCATCACCTTGATATGAATGTTAATTCTAGTGGTTACCTGTCCACATTTTAAATGTGGGGGGGGGGGGGGGTGTGGTAAAGGCAGAGGTCAAGAAATATATCAGCCTCCGATTCAAAAGCGGCCCCAAGACATCCAGGTTCTGTCATGAACTACCTGATCATATCATGGAGAAGCAATGCCAACAGGACATTTGACCGCAAGAAATTCATGTTCCCTTACTTTCACCTCTCACATAATACATCACCCAGATGTATGCACTCAACGGCAGTAACTGGCATTTACAGCGATGAAAAGGGGATTAACTGAAATTTCGGAGAAATTTGACTAAAAAGCTCAACAAAATTGGAAAGAGGAAAACCTTCACAAAACAACACAACGTAACGTTTCGGCGGGGCAGCCTTTTTCAAACATAAGTGAACTACACAATTGAGGAATGGAGAGTAGGTAGATTTCTAAGGGGTGACGTGAGCGACGTTTAAAAAAAAATGTTGATGCGGAATAAATGAAATAAAATTAAATAAACGATGGCTGAAAATATAGTCACAATACTGGTGATAATATACAGTTTCGTCCTTTTTAGGACGAAATTTTTTGTTATTTGAAGCCCCACTCTGGCTTTTGCCAGGGGCCGCAATATAGGCAGGCCATAAATATGGCCAAATGTCTGAACGCGGTGTCTGGGACCTCTCCACGGCGATCCTCATCCATATGGTGGCACTTTGTGTCATCGGGTGTTTATCGCTTGTGTGATGTCCTGGTGGGGTAGAAAGTCAGTCAGTCAGTCACAATACTGCAAATAAAAGAAGTGTTAATGATACATAAATGATACTGATAAGAAATAAAATAAAGTAATAATATGAAATAAAAAAAATATTTAAAAATTAAAATGTGATAAGATTAGAACTATTTAGACAAAGGTATGTTGGATATTGATACCACTTGGACTAAGAACGCCAAGGTTGTGGATAAGGCGATTTTCCAAAGCGAGGCGGGTAGTATGATCGCCAGAGCAAGATTTTAATGCTGTGACAGATATGTCATCTTTACCGCTGTGGTCAGGGCTATTAAAATGAAGAGGGATTGGTTTGAGTGTCTTCTTGTCGATATCGGAGAGGTGTTCCCGGAAACGATCAGCTAGCTTCCTGCCAGTCTCCCTGCCAGTCTTATTTTATTTTATGTCAAATTATTACTTTATTATATTTCTTATCAGTGTCATTTATGTATCATTAACACTTGTTTTTCTTTTATTCCCAGTATTGTGACTCTATTTTTTTTTAACCATCGTTTATTTTATTTTATTTCATTTATTCCGCATCAAAATGTCTTTTAAACGTCGCTCACGCCACCCCTTAGAGATCTACCTACATACTCTCATTTCCTCATTTGTGTAGTTCACTTATGTTTGAAAAAGGCTGCCCGGCCGAATCGTTACGTTGTGTTGTTTTGTAAACGTTTTCCTCTTTCCCATTTTGTTGAACTTTTTAGTGAAATTTCTCTGGAATTCATTGTATTAGCTTGACTGCAGTCACCCCCATAGTTTCACCAGGGGATTAACTGGTGTAACAGGGGATTAACTGGTGTAAGAGGGGAGTAACTGGTGTAAGAGGGGATTAACTGGTTTAACAGGGGATTAACTGGTGTAACAGGGGATTAACTGGTGTAACAGGGGATTAACTGGTGTTACAGGGAGACTGCACTTAAAAAAAAAAAAATGAGTAAACAACAGGCTCATCATGGCCTTCACATTTGCTTCTAGAACCTTTCCAGAAAACTCGGTGATAGGAAAACAGTGCAGTGCAAAAAAGGCGACTTGTTGATTGCGCCACGGTGTCCTTGGCCTGGGCTTCTAGCAACGTTAAGTGATTGAACTAGAATTACAATATGACCCTGCCAACTGGCAGCAAAGACATCTCTGGGTGGTGATATGCTCTATGATAGAGCGTATTTGGGGAAGGCTCTATTGGATTAAAAACGGACAGTGCAAAAAAGAATACAGTGATTAATGGAAAGACTAATTCAGTCTTAATTAACTAACTAACTAACTAACTAACTAACTAACTAACTAACTAACTAACTAACTAACTAACTAACTAACTAACTAACTAACTAACTAACTAACTAACTAACTAACTAACTAACTAACTAACTAACTAACTAACTAACTAACTAACTAACTAACTAACTAACTAACTAACTAACTAACTAACTAACTAACTAACTAACTAACTAACTAGATAGCTAGCTAACTAATTAAACTAACTAACTAACTAGCCGACAAACTAACTCTAACTAACTGGTTAACTAATTAACTAACTAACTAACTAACTAACTAACTAACTAACTAACTAACTAACTAACTAACTAACTAACTAACTAACTAACTAACTAACTAACTAACTAACTAACTAACTAACTAACAAACTAACTAACTAACTAACTAACTAACTAACTAACTAACTAACTAACTGACTAACTAATTAACTAATTAACTAACTAACTAAAAACGAACGAAGCTAACTAACTAAAAAACTTACTTACTAACTAACCAACTAACTAACTAACTAACTAAAAAACTAACTAACTAAAAACGAACGAACTAACTAAATAACTAATCAACTAAATTACTACCTGGCCTAGGATAGAAAACTGCGACTCCCCACTACGCTGTGAGGCAATTGTGGACAAGACAAGACAAGACAAGACAAGACTAAATTTCTGACTAACTATCTGACTTAAAAACTAACTAACTAACTAACTAACTAATTAACTAACTAACTAACTAACTAACTAACTAACTAACTAACTAACTAACTAACTAACTAACTAACTAACTAACTAACTAACTAACTAACTAACTAACTAACTAACTAACTAACTAACTAACTAACTAAAAAAACTAACTAACTAACTAAAAAACTAAATAACTAAATAACTAACTAACTTACTGATCGCTGACTACCATCGATGAAATTTACAGAACGTTAATGACATCTGCTCTCTCTCAGCATGCCGTAGTGCAGTACATGTCAGCTGGTTTACTAGTTAATTACCTGTCATTTCGACGTCTCCATAAGGTAGTGAGATATTCCGACAGGAAGGATACGAGTTATTAAGACTGGAATCAGAATGCGGTTCACTAGCCAGAGCTCACACTGAGTGTTGTCACAGGTAAGTTGCATGTTCTTGGCTGTTTCACCTCCAGCTGTTTGTTTAGTTCGTTTTACACCCCACTTAACAGAGACAATGATACAGTACGTCTGGGATAATTTTAAGACGGAATATACATAAACATAATTTTGATAATAATTAATTAACTTGTGCAACGAGTCTTATGTAGAACAAAAATAACATGATGCTAAATCTGATGAGGATATTGGACCCGTGCACACCGCGTGTTGCACATGTTTGATGCACCGCTGAAACCGGACCTGGGTCAAGAAACTGACGTCACTATATCATAATATGGTCTTGGGATTGGACTAAGAGGCCGGATAACGGCCTTTCTCTGGAGTTTCTCAGCTTAATCTCTCCAGCAGCAACATCCACAGACAGCTTCAGAGACAAGGTGAGATCCTCAGCGAGTACAAATCAAAGTCAATGTTGTCATTTTCCCCACTGCTGTTGCAGATTCATGAATTGTGGCCGGAACACAAACTGTATTATATTTATTATTATAATCAGCTGTCATTTCCGCTTTTTGTCCTCACTCTTTTACAGGGCTGTAG